CCATCATCATCGCCACCTTAATGATATCGGCTATGTTATCATCTGTAAACATTAAGACTTTCATGGACGAACAGACGCCGAAGAACTCCTTCGAATCGTCTCTTCCGTCACACGTGACGTCACCGCCCTGGCGATCGTGATAATGATGACGACGACAACGATGATGATAATGATCATCGTTATCATCATCGTTGTCGTCATCATCATCATCGTCGTCATCATCATCATCAGCAGCACCTGTACGAGATAGTAATAGTCTTGAGCGCTCTTCAGATCCAGTCTCCTCTTCTCATCATTTGAGAGACCCGCAAGCAAGCAGTAGAATATATGGTAGTTTCTCTCATCGTGATTCTGATTGTGGTTATTATTATTGCTGTTGTTGCTACTACTACTACTCTACTGCTGCTACTACTACTGCTACTACTGCTACTACTACTACTACTATAACTACTACTACTACTACTACTACTACTACTACTACTACTACTACTACTACTACTATTACTACTACTACTACTACTACTAATTACGAGCTAAATAAATTTATATAAAATTTAAATATCTTTGGAGAAACACCTGATAGACGATCCTAGATTTTTCCAGTAAATATTGTTCTATGCGCGCGCCGGAAATAGTTCCACGATCGTCGAAATTTATATCTATGTACTTTCCGAATCGACTTGAATTATCGTTCTTCACTGTTTTTGCGTTTCCGAATGCTGCCCATCGATTGATTGGTTGGTTGATAGAATGATTGAGTGAATGATTGATTGATGGATTGATGGATTGATTAGCTGGTTGTTTGGTTAGTTGATTAGTTGATAAATCAATCATTCAATCACTCAACTAACCAACCAATCAAACAATTAGCCAGTCGGTCATTCATTCAGTCAGTCAGTCACAACCAATCAATCAGCCAACCAGCCAACCAATCAATCAGCCAACCAGCCAACCAATCAACCAGCCAACCAATCAACCAGCCAACCAATCAACCAGCAAGCCATCCAACCTTCCATCACCGGATTAGCCTCCAATATTTGCTGTTCAATCCACGAATGCTGGCCGCTAACAGCAGCCAAAAATTGTAGAATTAATTTCGTGCTTTCAGTCTTTCCAGCTCCTGACTCACCGCTGATGATGATGATGATGGTGGTGGTGGTGATGATGGTGGTGGTGGTGGTAATGATGATGGTGGTGGTGGTGGTGGCGGTGCTGATGGTGATGATGACGAAGAGGAAGAAGATAATGATAACAAACCTGATTATGATACACTGATCCAGATTGTACCTCTGCATGTTGTGGTAGGAATTGTCACCAACCTAAATGGAAGTAACCGTGGAAACAACAACTACAACAACAACTACATCCACTACAACAACTACAACAAAAATACATTTAATACAACAACTACAACAACTATAACAACAGCAATTACATCCACTACAACAACTATAATAACAACAACTACAAGAATAACAATAATAATAACATCAACAACAACAACAACAATAACAACGACAGCAACAATCAACCAACAGCAAATATGTGCGGTGGTAACTCTCCAATCTTCCTGCCTTTATAATCTCGATTTGTTCACTGCCGTAAATTGACAGAGTTTTGTATGGATTGACGGCCACCAAAATGGAACCCGTGTACGTCTGCGTGTGTGTGTGTGTGAATGTATGCATGTGTGTGTATGTATGTGTGCATGTGTGTGCGTATATGTGTGTGCGCGTATGTGTGTGTGTGTGTGTGTGTGTGTGTATGTGTGTGTGCTTCAGTCAGTAACAATCAACCAATCAAATACGAGTCCTTTCTATCAAGAGATCAACCGACCAATCACAACTTACGTAAATCAAATCGTCTCGATATCTCAAAAGAAGATTCCTCAAAATCCCGGCCACGTTGAGGTCACCGAGTTGAATCATATCTTCGACCCCTTCAATCGAGGTCACGTGCATCTGTCTGACCTTTGACCTTTGGCGCTCGGAGGTCAACACTAGTTCCTGTTTGTTTAGAGTGAGCGAGCGAGTGATACGAGTGATGACGCCGATGACTTTTACGATGGTCATCTACGTCATCTTGTTCAATAGTTTAATAAAAAACTACAATCAGAATCATCATCATCCTCCTCATCATCATCATCATCACAACCTTATTGTCGTCAGTCCTAATGCAGACTCTGGTGTGGTCAACATGGCTGACCACACCCCCTACGGACAAATCAAACTCCCCACTGGCCCCCTCATCGTCGTACCATACGTAGTCACCCTATGATTGATTCATTGATTGGTTGATTTGGTTAATTGATTGGTTCATCGATTGATTGATTTGGTAATTTATTAAATCGGTAATCCGTTGGTATGACAAAGTATGAGAACAATCATCAACTATACATATATAAGCCATCATGCAAAGCTAACAAAGATACAAATCTACAGACACACACACACACACATACATATACTCACACACACACAAAAACACACACACATACACAAACACATACATATATAAATTATTATTATAATTTACACATACCTTGTGTAGTATAACCATAGCATTGGGAGAAACAAGTCTTAAGTAATGTTTCTATTTGTATTCTTGTTAATGTTATTACTTATTTATCTATTTATTTTATATGACAATGGATTTTTTTGTTTCAATCTTCTGTGGTTTCAAAAAAATATATAATAAAATAAATAAATTAAAATATATAAAAATTAAATAATACAAATTTTTAAATTAAAATGGAAAAATTTGAAAACCTAATTGTTGCATATAATTATAATATAAACACAAATATTCAATTACTAATTATTAATATATACCATCATTTCAGTCATTAATGTCTTAATGATGATAGAAGTAACTTGGGGACTTCCCCTAATTTTTAAATAATCCCTAATCTAATGCTAATTTAATTTAACTAATTTATGTTTAATCATGTAGGTAGTACTAAATTACAACTATACCTATATAATATACAGTTTTTTTATACAATATTTATAAATTTTATCATTTAAAATTAATATAATTATTTTCTTAGTTTAATCTTTAAATGCTTTTATTAATGGCCTAACTCATAACTAACTTACTAACTATTAAAAACTGCCAAATAAATATAATTAATTAAATAAAAAAATTAATTAAATTAATTAACTATTAAAATGCATTAGAGACTAAACAAACAGCCTAAGCAAATATATGCAAAATTCAAATATACGCAAACTAATACAAACAAAATTATTTGGTTTTATTTCAATTTAACACATTTAACATCGATTTTAATTCTTAATCAATTAATTTCTTGCCTGCCTGGAGTATGTATTCAGGTAAGGTCTCGCTAATAGTTGCAACTCGCTAAGGTGAGATTTTACACCTTGACATACTTTGGCATAAATAAACATATATACATATAACTAGAATAAATTATATTCTATATAATTATATTATATTTAATTAAATAACTTGGGTTATTGGCTTACGAAATTGCATGGGTTTTAAAGAGCAAGCTATATGAAATATTTACTTGACTTAATATGCTTAAAACATTGCAGTAATTCTACCTAATTTTATTTAATAGAATTCTGTATTATTAAATTATTTTTGTTAATTTGCAACATTGTAAGTGGCTCTGCGCGTATAATTAATGTCAGAGCTGCAATAATAAAGACTAAAAAAATTTGAATATAATAATTGCTTTTGTCTGGTGAAAAACAGTGGCTTACTAAAGTTGTAGGTTGGCTTAATCGGATTTTTTTTCATGTACCCTATACAATACTATGAGATCAATCAATCAATCAATCAATCAATCAATCGATCGATCGATCGATCATCCAACCAACCAATCAACCAACCATTCATTCAATCAACTAATCAACCAACAAATCGACCAATCAATGAACCAAATTGAATGAACCAAATAAACGAAAAAAATAACAAAAATAAATAAAAAATATTTGCAAGGCTTGTTTAGACACGACCAAACACTTAACCGCACAGATCTACAATTTCGAGATTTTAAGTAAAGAAAGAAAAACACAATAGTTGCTTTTATTTGAATTCATTCAAAAATGGAAAGTGACGGTTAATTAAAATTGTAAAAACGTCAATTTTTTAAAAAATTCGAATTTTAAACAAACAAATATAAGAAAATATCGACCGATAAAAAATAATTATTGTCCATTATTATTATACACACTTCTTTGTAGTTCTCGGAGAATGATTCACGTAACACGAACATTTAGTAAGAACAGTTCACAGCATATCATAATGGCTAAATCAACATACCAAACAGTAATTATTTATGCGTGTATATATGCAAAGTAAATCAAGAAATATCCAAAAATTATATAACCAAATTAAAAAAAACTAGAAACCAGTCAACATTAAATAAATAAAGAAATAGACATTATTAAAAAGATTGTTCAAATTGGTAAAATTTAAGGCGACGACGAGAATGAAATGTAGTTTGTTTTGTTGGTGTGGTGTTGTGAAGCGAAAACAAACAAACACATCACAAAAAACTTGTAAGAAGTAGTCAGTCACCTACCTACAATTAAATTACTCTCAGGGCCCTAGCTTACTTATAATCATTAATTAACTCAACTCACCTACCTACAAATTTGTATTTCTACGTTTTAGAAATTTTGAACGTTTCAGGTATTTTATTTTACAAATTTTAGCGTTTTTATTTTACTTGAAACTTTTTAACTAATGTTAAGCCCTAGCCTACCTACGATTGTTCAACTCATCTCAATCCCTAACTTACCTATGAATTAAATTAAGTCCGGTAAAGAAAATAGAAGAGAAACATAACAACGACACCGAATGAATGGATGTTGTGTATGTGTGTGTTGTATTGATGTATGTGTATGTAAATGTGCGCGCGTGTACTCTCCAGACACTTCTTATTGTCATCTTCGAATTATCATCGGAACGATCATCGTGAGACCACCGTCTGAAACGTGCTGACGCCCACCACAACCCACCTCTCATCATTCTGTAGACAAATTTTTTTATTAGCGTAGTAGTAAATGAATGTTAGAATCTTTGAAGAATAATTATATAATGAAAATAATGGCGAATAAATAATATTTTAAAATAATAAAGAGAGTAAAATGTAAAAAAAAAAACTCACTTTCGTCCATTCGACAAAGGCAAAATGTTGAAAGCCTGAGTGAGTGAATGAATTAATTAAGTAATCAATCATTGTTTCAATGATTAAAAAAATGTATTAATGGAAAAATAATTTGAAAGATTGAGTGATAAAACGAATGAATGAATGAATGGATGGATGGATGGATGGATGGATGGATGGATGAATGAATGAATGAATGAATGAATGAATGAATGAATGAATGAATGAATGAATGAATGAATGAAATTAAAAAATATAACTAAACCTTACTTCAAAAATCGTCGTTACTGTACTCCATTGCACCGACCACCATCATCTGGTCGGCACACAAGATTTCATCCGAACTTCAGAGTGTTAGTCGAACAGCCAACGAGCTGATTCTTTATACACCACCATCCTCATACGTAAATCATCATGAGACCACCATCTGAAACGTGCTGACGCCCACCACTGCCCACCTCTCATCATTCTGTAGACAAATTTTTTTATTTGCGTAGTAGTAAATGAATGTTAGAATCTTAGAAGAAAAAGAAATATAAAATGAAAATAATGTCAAATAAATAATATTTTAAATTAATAAAGAGATTAAAATGTAAAAAAAAACTTACCGTCGTCCATTCGACAAAGGCAGAATGTTGAATGCGGTCCGGTTCCTACGTTGTCCTCCGAAACTGGTGCCAGTCCTCCTCGAGATTGTTGTTGGAACACAGCCCGTGTTGATGGAGAAAAATAAAGAGAAGATTCTCATCAGAAAGCTTAGCGTTGCCTGCGTCTCAAATAGCCTAATAAAAATAATCCTATTTACCTATTCAATTACCTTAACTAATCTATGAATTAATGGTACGATAGTCGAAAGTCCCCTTCATTCTCCCTCCTTGCACAGAGGTTCACCGACAGCCAGGGCACCGGATAGTAAACCATTGCCGTGCGGATAGTAGACTATTGCCGTGCGGATAGTAAACCATTTGCCGTCCGGAAGCCGTGCGGGTAGTAGACTATGGCCGTGCCGCATAGTAAATCATTACCGTGCAGATAGTAAACCATTGCCGTCCGGATAGTAAACCATTGCCGGTTCACCACTGGCCACCAAGGCTTACCTCTGACAAGGGACTTTGAAATTCAGAGTCTATCGGCTATCGTACCCTCAACTTACCTATTCATTACAATTAAGCCCTAGCTTACCTAAAAATTACAAAACTCAAGAGCCCAATTCATTGGCCAATCGGCACCCACCCCACCACCTACGTAATGCC